TCGCAAGGGTCCACAGGCGCGGTGACGTCAACACGTGTCCTCAGGCGCGGAGACGTCAACACGTGTCCTCAGGCGCGCTGACGTGACACGAGTCCACAGGTGCGGTGACGTTTAATGGAGTCAGGGGCCTCGCTACCGTCACCCATGCCGCGAGGGATGTCGCGTATGGCGTCACGGTACGGCAGGAACGTCACGGATTGATGTTGATGCGATGACGTCACGCAACTGTTTCGGCGACCTCGAAAATTATCGCGAATTACGTCACGGACGCCAATACAATCATATTGGCACAATCCCCTTTTAATTTAATATTCAGTGAACATTCATATGAACGTCACAAATTAAATGTTAGCACGTACTATAAAACGTTTTTTTTTTAATATATAATAATTTGTGTCAGGCAATCATGCACATGCTTGATGGTCAGATACTTTTGCAGTCCACTGCTGGATGAAAGCCGTGTTGGGATTTGGCCGCCACTCCGGACTTCGTCTCGACCATCGAGTCCTCGTGTCCTGCTCAACCCCAGCTCCTCTTCTAAGCCGTCCAGATACAATGTACATATTTACGAGGTGACGGTAAGGCAAGTACGTGTTCAATTGTCACTCTTGACATTTTTTGCTACTTGTGTAATGATAGTAGAGTATACATGCGGTGTGAGTGGACTGGTGGCCACGGGAGGTAATGACAGGGGAGTCAGCTGTGATTGTGAAGGGACTAGTGGCCACGGGAGGTAATGACAGGGGAGTCAGCTGTGTGTGCGAAGGGACTGGTGACCACGGGAGGTAATGACAGGGGAGTCAGTTGTGTGTGCGAAGGGACTGGTGGCCACGGGAGGTAATGACAGGGGAGTCAGCTGTGATTGTGAAGGGACTAGTGGCCACGGGAGGTAATGACAGGGGAGTCAGCTGTGATTGTGAAGGGACTGGTGGCCACGGGAGGTAATGACAGGGCTGTCAGCTGTGTGTGTGAAGGGACTGGTGGCCACGGGAGGCAATGACAGGGGAGTCAGCTGTGAGTGCGAAGGGACTGGTGGCTACGGGAGGTAATGACAGGGGAGTCAGCTGTGATTGTGAAGGGACTGGTGGCTACGGGAGGAAATGACAGGGGAGTCAGCAGTGAGTGTGAAGGGACTGGTGGCTACGGGAGGTAATGACAGGGGAGTCAGCTGTGTGTGCGAATGGACTGGTGGCTACGGGGGGTAATGACAGGGGAGTCAGCTGTGATGCTGAAGGGACTGGTGGCCACGGGAGGTAATGACAGGGGAGTCAGCTGTGATTGTGAAGGGACTGGTGGCCATGGTAGGTAATGACAGGGGAGTCAGCTGTGAGTGCGAAAGGACTGGTAGCCACGGGAGGTAATGACAGGGGAGTCAGCTGTGTGTACGAAGGGACTGGTGGCCACGGGAGGTAATGACAGGGCTGTCAGCTGTGTGTGGGAAGGGACTGGTGGCCACAGGAGGCAATGACAGGGGAGTCAGCAGTGAGTGTGAAGGGACTGGTGGCTACGGGAGGTAATGACAGGGGAGTCAGCTGTGTGTGCGAAGGGACTGGTGGCTACGGGAGGTAATGACAGGGCTGTCAGCTGTGTATGGGAAGGGACTGGTGGCTACGGGAGGTAATGACAGGGCTGTCAGCTGTGTGTGGGAAGGGACTGGTGGCTACGGGAGGTAATGACAGGGGAGTCAGCAGTGAGTGTGAAGGGACTGGTGGCTACGGGAGGTAATGACAGGGGAGTCAGCTGTGTGTGCGAAGGGACTGGTGGCTACGGGAGGTAATGACAGGGGAGTCAGCTGTGATGGTGAAGGGACTGGTGGCTACGGGAGGTAATGACAGGGGAGTCAACTGTGAGTGTGAAGGGACTGGTGGCCACGGGAGGTAATGACAGGGGAGTCAGCTGTGATTGTGAAGGGACTGGTGGCTACGGGAGGTAATGACAGGGGAGTCAGCTGTGTGTGCGAAGGGACTGGTGGCCACGGGAGGTAATGACAGGGGAGTCAGCTGTGATTGTGAAGGGACTAGTGGCCACGGGAGGTAATGACAGGGGAGTCAGCTGTGATTGTGAAGGGACTGGTGGCCACGGGAGGTAATGACAGGGCTGTCAGCTGTGTGTGTGAAGGGACTGGTGGCCACGGGAGGCAATGACAGGGGAGTCAGCTGTGAGTGCGAAGGGACTGGTGGCTACGGGAGGTAATGACAGGGGAGTCAGCTGTGATTGTGAAGGGACTGGTGGCTACGGGATGCAATGACAGGGGAGTCAGCAGTGAGTGTGAAGGGACTGGTGGCTACGGGAGGTAATGACAGGGGAGTCAGCTGTGTGTGCGAATGGACTGGTGGCTACGGGGGGTAATGACAGGGGAGTCAGCTGTGATGCTGAAGGGACTGGTGGCCACGGGAGGTAATGACAGGGGAGTCAGCTGTGATTGTGAAGGGACTGGTGGCCATGGTAGGTAATGACAGGGGAGTCAGCTGTGAGTGCGAAAGGACTGGTAGCCACGGGAGGTAATGACAGGGGAGTCAGCTGTGTGTACGAAGGGACTGGTGGCCACGGGAGGTAATGACAGGGCTGTCAGCTGTGTGTGGGAAGGGACTGGTGGCCACAGGAGGCAATGACAGGGGAGTCAGCAGTGAGTGTGAAGGGACTGGTGGCTACGGGAGGTAATGACAGGGGAGTCAGCTGTGTGTGCGAAGGGACTGGTGGCTACGGGAGGTAATGACAGGGCTGTCAGCTGTGTATGGGAAGGGACTGGTGGCTACGGGAGGTAATGACAGGGCTGTCAGCTGTGTGTGGGAAGGGACTGGTGGCTACGGGAGGTAATGACAGGGGAGTCAGCAGTGAGTGTGAAGGGACTGGTGGCTACGGGAGGTAATGACAGGGGAGTCAGCTGTGTGTGCGAAGGGACTGGTGGCTACGGGAGGTAATGACAGGGGAGTCAGCTGTGATTGTGAAGGGACTGGTGGCTACGGGAGGTAATGACAGGGGAGTCAACTGTGAGTGTGAAGGGACTGGTGGCCACGGGAGGTAATGACAGGGGAGTCAGCTGTGTGTGAGAAGGGATTGGTGGCCACGGGAGGTAATGACAGGGGAGTCAGCTGTGATTGTGAAGGGACTGGTGGCTACGGGAGGTAATGACAGGGGAGTCAGCTGTGTGTGCGAATGGACTGGTGGCCACGGGAGGTAATGACAGGGGAGTTAGCTGTGATTGTGACGGGACTGTTGGCCACAGGAGGTAATGACAGGGGAGTCAGCTGTGTGTGCGAAGGGACTGGTGGCCACGGGAGGTAATGACAGGGAAGTCAGCTGTGTGTGCGAAGGGACTGGTGGCCACGGGAGGTAATGACAGGGGAGTCAGCTGTGTGTGCGAAGGGACTGGTGGCTACGGGAGGTAATGACAGGGGAGTCAGCTGTGAGTGCGAAGGGACTGATGGCTACGGGAGGTAATGACAGGGGAGTCAGCTGTGAGTGCGAAGGGACTGGTGGCTACGGGAGGTAATGACAGGGGTGTCAGCCTGCAGTATGAATGGACTGGTGGCTACGGGAGGTAATGACAGGATTGTCAGCTGTGTGTGCGAAGGGACTGGTAGCTACGGGAGGTAATGATAGGGGAGTCAGCTGTGTGTGCGAAGGGACTCGTGGCTACAGGAGGTAATGACAGGAGAGTCAGCCTGCAGTATGAATGAACTGGTGGCTACGGGAGGTAATGACAGGGCTGTCAGCTGTGTGTGTGTAGGGACTGGTGGCCACGGGAGGTAATGACAGGGAAGTCAGCTGTGAGTGTGAAGGGACTGGTGGCCACGGGAGGTAATGACAGGGGAGTCAGCTGTGTGTGTGAAGGGACTGGTGGCGAAGAGAATGATCGAGAAGGGAGCGTGGTCAGGTGACGGAAGAGGACAGTGGAGTCTGCCGGTTGAGCGAGCGTCCAGAGTCAGCGAGAAGGATAGAGAAGGGGGGCGTGGCCTCGTGTCGGTATATAAGGGGGAAATGCGCGGGAGACTAGGGGCTGTTGCAGTGGGGGTCTCCGCCTGATGTCAAGTGAACGTGTCTTCAATAAAGTGCCATCTCAAGCGAACTGTATCAAGTCGTCATTACACATGTATTTGTTATAACTTGATGAAAAAGAGCTTAATAGCTCATCGGATTCCTCCAGTCTAAACAAAGATTCTGATTCAATAACCGTACAGAGATGCCGAGCACTGACGTCAGTAATTGGATCGTGGGACTGCGGTCGCATTCAGGTCGAATCAGAATATTTATACTGGAGGAATCCGATGAGCTATAAAGCTCTTTTTTAAACACATGCCCAGTAGAAGCGATTTAAATTAAGGGATTCAAATCGATTCCCACGCTCGCTCATCACGCGACGAGTCGTGCTAACCGACCGGTGTTGGTTGCAATCCGCGCGACCGCCGCGCCTGCGGCCGACGGTAACGCTGTGTTCCACCACCGCATGGTGACCACTCGGCTCTTGAATCGAATCGCGACCACGAATCGTGACTAATAATCGAATTGTCAAGGGGAAGAGACTCGTGTGTTATTGTTCACTTATTCAGTATTGTTCATTTATTCAGTACTGTACATTATTGGACATCCGTGAAAAAGAGCTTCATAGCTCATCGGATTGCTCCAGTTACAATAAAGATTATGAATGTGATGGGTTCACATCACCCTTGCAGCCACTAGAGGCACTGCAATTCACAGCATTGTTAAGAATTCTAAATTGTGACAAATAATTCAATCAGTCAATAGGGGAGAAATGAATCATAACTTTTCACATCACTTCATAAAAAAATCCATAAACTCTGCTCATCTCGTCTCACAATAGATTCTACGACGGTTCGCCAGAGCGGATAATCACTGCCAAGTCCACACAATCGCCTTCATTCAATTTGGCCAACTCCGTACTACTTAGGTGATGAAATATTTTTTTTCCGGAATGCCGTGCAAAGCTTGAGCTGGCGCGAGGCTGCTGAAAGTGACAAAAAAAGACAAATATCCCGAAAGCAGTCGTAAAGTGTTCATCTTTATTTATCTAAAAAAAGAATATACGTTACATTGACCACGGAAATTCATTAATTGTAGCAGCGCTGTTGTTGTACCCGGGGGTGGCAGGTACAGCGAATAATGCGGGGGAAAGGTCTTTGGCAGCACTGGGCCCAAAATCCTTCTGCCGACAACTTTTAAACAACAACATTTTGGGCCCTGGACACAATTTGCCACAAGGGGACCCTGGCAGACCTTTTATTTGTTTGAATCCCCCTGCAAAAAATCACTCGACTCGCCATGCCCTGCCGCGTTCACAGTTCCATTCGCAACCGACGCACAATGCGACACATACGTGACTGGTGTACGCGATGCAGGCTGGGGAGGCACAGTCTGCCCTTGCATGCTCACAGCTATTCATGCCCATAAAGCCGATCATTCGGAGTGAACATCAATAAAGGCGCTCTCCATCTCGGTCTCTCACAATATCACGATCTCACATCCACACATTGGAGGCCTCGCCTTGGTGGCGGTAGCAGCAGCAGCAGCAGCAGAAGAGTGATCGCCCCAAGTTAAAGCTTCTCTTACGGTATATTTTCGGGTTGTCCTACCGCGTGGTGTCTGTTCGGCATTGTGTTTTGGCGTTTCGCTGCACGTGACGGGAGCTTCTTTGGGATCTCAATTCAGTCCCCAAACTTAAAATGTTAGCTCCTGAAAAAAAAATCACCCCAAGTGCGTTGCAGCGAAACGTGCGACCTCGTGCCGAATAAATAATTTGCGGTACAACCCGAAAAGAACAATATTCTCGTTTCAGTTCCTGAAGAACCCAGTTCCGTTCCTGAAAAAAAAGGTTGCGGCTCGTGGGGGTGAATCGTCGGACATCGTGCCGAACAATGCGCGGTACGACCCGAGAAAGCATTGGAGAGCTTTACATCAGCACCAACGAGAAAACCTAAGCCTGTTGTCACGTTGCCACCGTCACCTGGAAGCAACTCGGGTACTGTAATTCGGTTGTTCGTCCACGCCGGTGTAAGCTGGGACAGGCATGCATCACTCCGGCCTGTGCCATCACACAGGAGGCAAGGTTAACGCGGCGTGACCAGGGCGACATTCATCCAGACCGGGCACGAGCATACTTAAGCACGACAGCGCGCACACTTTTTAGTGTTGTCGGTATGTACTGTGTGGGGAAACCGTGGGGTCTTTCAATTCGTCTGCCCAGGACCACGCCCAGTGGTGTGAAATTTACAAACTGGAAACAAATTATTTAAACCGCACTTGTCCTTCCTACGTGAATGGAAATAAAGGCGGGTTAGTGTAACGGAATTGATGAAACCACAGGTAAAACCTGGTTAGAAATGTCAATTTCTCAACGTTTAAATATGAATATTTTGCCAAAACAGATGAATTCAGCCGATTGATATTCCATTCAACCGATTGATATTCCAGTATCTCGTCTTAAAGCGGTTATCGCTGCCACCCTGTGAAGGTTTCAAACATGCTCGCCAGGCCAAGCCAGGCTGGGTGGTGGGACAGGCGACCCACTCACTCGCCACCAGGCAACCATTTATTTCATCAGGGCTCGTGTGGTGACTTATGCCACACCGCCAGACAGCTCGTTCGCACGGGCAAGATGCAGGGTTTAATATTTCCCACGGCAATATTTTCCACATTGCTGGTTGAGTGCAAGTAGGTGGGGCACGTGACCAGCAGCAGCTGGCAGCCGTAGCAAGCAGCGCACTGAATTTGCAGCATGCTGCCCAATGCCGAAATATATTCCAGGTCACCGACCCAGACTGACCGTGGCTGAGTTGATCCACGGGTAAGGAAGGGCACACGGGTGAGAGTCGAGTTAAACAGCATTCTCACAGTCAGCTGATGGTGGCGTACCCATGACCGCTGGCTGCAAGCGAGCGGCACCGTGGCGGATTTTTAAACCTGCAAATGCCCAACGTGCAGGGGCCACCCATTTCTGGTCGTGGTGATGTAGAGCGGGCGGATTCTTCCCGAACAACTGTTTTTGTACAAACGCACAGAAATCAATTGACGCGCTTTTTTTCCACTGGGTTCATGCATTTAAATATAAGCCGAGAAGAACTCAATCGTTCCCATATCCTAATGCAGAGCGTGTCCTCGAGATAACGTGGGCGGGGGTGGGGGGGGTGTACCGTGCCCTCCGCATATGACCGTGGCTCTTCGGTGGACCACCAAAAACGTTTGGGGGAAGAAGAAAAAAGTGGAACAATTTTTCTTTTTAAACTGCACTCCTGGCGATCAAAAGGCACGCGGACTTTTGTTTTGGACCTCCGTCTACACCCTGCATTGTGACGTCACGCGCCAGCGTAGCCCCCAGCATAGGGCTGCCCCGCGCGCACAGTGACGGCTCTGGATTTGGGGTTGTGCGTTCAGAATTGGTTTGTAACTTTTGGTGATTTCGGTCACGTTCTTTTTTTTCGGTGTAACTTTCTTTCATGTGTTTTTTTGTTGCAAAGTTAAACAATGAGAGAAACGATAGGAGTTGTAAATGAGCCAAGAGCTAATAGCCAATTTCTGGCGTTCGTGAAAATAACGAGGGCTTTGTTAAGTTGACGGATGTAACATTATTGGGGCATCTGCTCCTGGATTAACCCGGTACTTCTAGGACACACTGTGAATGAAATTGCGAATAACCCCAGACGTTAGAGTGGCTCGCAAGGAAGGTCAGGGCATCAGCAAAGCCATTTCCGTAGGCCTACGAAAGCCTAAGGTCTCTCTCATCCTGGCGTGCTGACTGCGGGCTGCATCATTTATTCATTGCATCGTACCGGCACATCGTTTACCGTAAGCGCGTCCGGGAAGATTACAGACTCAAAATAACCCACTCAAGTTAACGTCGACATTTAAAGCCATCCTCAGCTCTCGCGAGACCCGGTTCCACCTGCACATTGTATTCTCACGCGCACGCGCTATTGCTGTGAACTCCATCGGAGGCGAGGTGGGCACGTTACAAAATAAACATTGCTACCTCGAAGATAAACAAAACATCACACTAAAAAAAATCAACAACCCACTACGTAAGGGAGGGAACCGTCTCGTAAATTGGACGACGTGTGTGAAAATAAATGCGGTGGAATGTTTGCGACGCGTTCGAGGCATGATTGAGTCTGGTGGCAGACAGAGCACGTGCTTACGGTACAAGTGGAATGATCAACGATGAGCAACTGGAGGACAGCACGGCGATTTGTGGGGGTCAAATACAGCAACAAATACTGTGAAGCGTCGCCAGCCGCCCGTAGAGACACGGTGTCTTACCTTGTCTAGACATTAGTGGACTATCTAGGAGTTAACGTATCTTATTTAGGAATACAATATCCTTCGTGTAAATAGAATATTAATAGGGGTGTAAACGATTCGCTCACCCCGCGATTCAGTTAATTGTCACGATTGGGGGTCGCAATAGTGATTGTCGTTTCTTTCTATACATTGTGGTTAATGTAGTGGCTCCTAGAGGCTGGAGGAGGTCCAATCCCATACGTTCACCATCCAAAGATCTAAACACCCTGTATTCTTCAACGGACGATTCGATGCATGTATCGTTTATTTCTCACGCGTGCCGTCAGGTTGTGCCGCGTATCGTTCGGCACGATGTCCGACGTTTCGCTGCACGAGCCGGAGAATCTCCCCGGCAGCGCGTGGAGCGAATTTCCGGATATCGCGCCGAACAACACGCGGCAACAACCCCAACAACGCACGTTGGCGGGGACGAAGCTACGCCAGCGTCCTTCGTTTATCTTGAGAATCGCAACATTAGCCGACGGACCGATGCTCCACGATCACACCCCTATTTGTTGAACTAAATAAACGGGGGGAGAGAGAACAAGACGACAACCTCTGGGTCGCGATTATCGCCACGCGTGAAACGGGCGCGTCGCGCCAGGCGCTGCCGCGGCGGGTCGTGGCAGCAACGAGGGAGACGGTGCCTGCGCGTCACAAGCTCGTCTCCCGCTCCAGCTGCATGTAAAGCCACGCGCTACGCTTCCCGGTGCAGCTCAGCGGCACGACGCTGTGGAGAGTACGGCAAACCGTGTTCAGACCAAACCAAACATTTGCCGCGTTAGCGATGTACAGGGAAACCTCAATGCGGCGTTTGTAAAATTTACGGTTGAACAGCTGAACCTGATTTTTGGGGGGATTTGTGAATTCAGAATCTTATTCTTTAATCAGATTGGAGGAATTCGATGAGCTATAAAGTTCTTTTTCACAGAAAGGTACCCTTAAAGAAATACAATTTGATTGGTTGATTGATACATTTTCTGAATGGGGATTTTGTTTGAGACTCTGAAAAATGACATTTTGCAATGTAATTCAACGTGGATTTATAACAGCGTCTCAATGCAGCCGCATATGAAGACGCTGTACAGGAACAGGGGGGAATCTGTATGTCCTTCATAGAGAGGCAGTAAGTCCTAGGTGGAAGAGATAAAGATCTGGATCCTGAACTTGAACATGAGCCGGGAGTCGCCGGCACGGGTGGCTCGTGGGGAGTTCCAGACTTTGGGGGCAGCAAAAGAGAATGAGCGACCTCCCCCCGAGTTAAAGTTGACTCTGGACCTGGGTTGATTTTTTTAGATTCGTAATAACACAGAAAGTGCCAATGTTATAGCGAGGTTTCACTGTACAGTATACATCATGACAGACACGCAATTCAGCGATGGGCTAGTGATTACATTGCACACAACAGCGAGCGTTACAGCGGTGCTCACCGCGCAGCGCGCCAAGTCCCCTTACTCCGTTGTGAACCGCCCCGTTCATTCAACACTCGTCCGCTTGCTGAAGCAGAGTGTTTTGGCAAATCGAGTCGCAAAGGTGATCATTCCGACTTCCAAAAAACAGCAATACGCACAGCGCGCGAAACACAGTTTCCAAACAAGGAAATTGCCGTTGCGGATGCCGTTGAGGGTAGCGGCCAAAATGTTCTCCGTGAAAAGGACACGGAGAACATTCCACCCACAAACTAACCGTTGACGTCATTTATTTTACCAGGCGAGGCCTCACTGAGCTCTGCAGCTCTTTGTTCAGAAGCGAATTCGCCATCAAGTGGCTTAATCACGTGGAAATGTATAGCAGCAGGCCAAATACTCTAAACGCGTGACGTGGATTCTAAATGCGGAGGGACTCGCCGGAGGACCTGGAGAAAGATCCACGCGACCACTCGGGAGAGAGACACCAAAACTCGAAATATACAGCAGGCGTCGTCGGGAATGAATTAATGCGTCGCGCACACGGCTACCGATGGCAAAGCCAGCGAGCCGGTGGAGTGCGACCAAGCAGGCGTTCACGGTTCCGCCGTACGGCTTCTCCCGGCGCGTCATCGGCTTTGCGCCGCGTGCGGTTCGGCACGGTCTCGGACGCGGAGCGAAACGTCGGACAACGTGCAGAACGACACGCGGCACAAACCCGACAAGACGGTACGTTAGGATTACCGGCACGCTGGGCGTGGGTAATGGCTGCCACATGTTATTTAGAAGTCTCGATTGGGGCAAACCAGCAATATGTCGTTCTCAAAACATTGTGACCGCCACCCATGGTCATCAAACGAACCCCGTGAAAGACATGGTGTGAGGAGACATTCATCCAGCAGTGAATTGACAAAGGTCTGAACAATGGGCACGTCTATCATTGGCTAATATAATCGACAAAAAGCATGACATCGGTTAAAGATGAACAAACAAAGTACGAAGAAGACAACAACATTGATTTGTGAGAATATTGAAAATCAACAGCTACCAAAAAGCACGACGATAATATTTCAGAGTTATAATCATTTCATGTCAAGCCACGAAAGGGAACTTCCTTTAGAACATTCAACACGTAAATATACGTTAAGTGCGTCTCCTGCTGCGCGTAAGTGCTTAACAATCAAGTTGCAGAGGAGGCGTCCACACTTCGGCGATAGCACACGGTTATGACGTCTCACGCTCTAGTCACGACTCAGTTTTACGTCACGTGACACCTCTGTGAAAATAGATGCGTTTATATATCTCTCTCTCCACGCGGCGTGGGCATTGCGACGCCCCAAGTGCTATACAGTATTCCATTTACGTTGTTTCTCACATGTAATTCAGCTCTACAGGAACAGCTTCATTTATTTAAACTTTTTTTGTCATATAATATACCTGAAGCAGTAAAATGCTATTGCCAAACGTTACAGGACACTCAGGTAAACATGCTCAAACGCAATACAAACAAAAATCTCGATCGACGCAAGAGCGAGTCTTCTAAAACAACCCTTTTATGAAGGAGAATTCCCTTCGAGGGGTCAAGCAAGGGACTCCAGGCTGAGCGAGGGGGCCTTTGCGATGACGGCCCCGGAGTGCCTCTAACGATGGCGCCGGGCCGAACGCACGCGGCCGACCTCAGGTGCCGTTTGGTGAAACGCTGGAGCTCGCCGGCTGGAGCTCCAGCTGGCTCGAGCTCGCTGTCTGGAGCTCCAGCTAGTTCGAGTTCGCCAGCTCGAGCCAGCTGGAGCTCGCGCGGATTCGTCCACGCGTCTCGCTCATCCAGTAGAGCCGCGGCACTCAACCCTCCCGGAGAGGGGGATTTTACGGCACACGCGGACGCTGTGACAGAGAGCCGTTGTGTAAAACTGGGACGAAAACCAGGATTGAAAACGCATTTAGAGACGGCTAAGTGCGATGTCGTCGGGAACGTTCAGAATACCGGGCGGGGGGAAGGGGGTGTTAAATGCGGAAATGCTTTGAAATACAGACCCAGTTAGACTCCACGTTACGATCTACAAGAGAAAGGAACAGCGTTTAGTAACGGCAAGGAAATCATTCAGACATCAGAAGTACAAAAACACAATGCAAAGGGCAGGGGTCGGGAGGGGGGCAGGGGGTGGAGGAGGCGGGGGGGGCGGGGGGGGGGGATTTGTGCGGACGTCGAGGCGACAGAGGCACGGAAGGGCCCGACGTGAGATGAGCGCGTGGCTCAAACCGGCCGATTTTGTCTTTTTGAGAGTGGGCTCAATCAACGCGTGCGCAGCGATTGCAGGTGCGCGGGGCGAATGGAATGTTAGAGACGGCGGCGATGACCACGACGCTACGCGCCTGAGCGGCAGCGGCTGGCGGAGGGCTCGGCGATTCCGTGCGGGCGAGCCCCGTCACGCGTCGTGGCGACCGGTGTGGGCTGGCCCGTTTCATGTTCCCTCTTCATGCGTTTACACGAAATCCGGGGGCACTCCCAGCTACTTGGGGCTCCCCTAAGCGCTTTTTTAATGCTTCGTTTGCGTAAAAAAACCGGGAGCCGCCGCCGTTCACAATGAACCGTCGCGGAGACGGCGGCGTGGGTCAGGTTCGTCTGCCAGGCGGCGCTTCGGAAGAGGGGCACCACGCCGTCCCGCACGCTCCGCCAGCCGCAGGGATTCGTTTAACCCGGAAGCTGTCCGGGGCAGAGCTCCTGAAAATATTTCCATGCCCACCCCAACCACCCCCCTCGGTACTCCCCGTTGTCACGGGGGTGGGGGGGGGGCCTGGAACATATTCCACGAGAAGTGAAGCCCAGCCACCCGTCATTGCGGCACGTTACATGTTTGGGTCTTAGAACCGGGTAAAAATCCAAAGTTGACTTCGTTAAGAAGCGTTGCAGAGTTCACGTCCTCTGGGAATGTTGCGTGACGTACAAAGTGATTTTTGTTTGCATCGATATAACCCAAACACGTCGCGCGCACGCCGATGAGAATGGATCGACGTCAGTGCGCGGTTACTTTCAGTCTCTCGAGCGGAATCGCGAGCGGAATCGCGAGCAGCCTGCGGCAGTGGTGGTGCATTGTGGGGTTTGTAAACGGGGGCAAAGCGTACTGGAACACACGGGACTCGCTAACAGGCTCGCTGCACTCGCAGCACGAGCGTCGCGGGCCATCGATGCCAACCGGCGAGGGTTGGACAGTCGAGGGTGGTCGCAACGGTCGTGACCTCTGTTGGCACCGAGCAGATCTGTGAATGTTTGCCGAGCTGAATGCTGTTATGAAGCTGGCCGAAACTGCACAAAGCAATCGTAGCCTAGGCGTGACGTAATCCCCTTGTACGTGTACCTTGCTCATGGCCCAGTCCCCCTTGACAAATAACACTGCAGTACCTGGTTCCCACGAGCCGCGCAACTTGAGATTGAACTGGGGTTGCTGTCCCGCTCATGTGTCTGTACGTTTCGTCAAATCTATACTATTGAACCGAACTAAACTATTTTTATTTTACCAGGTAAGGCCCACTGAGCTCTGTAGCTCTTATTTAGCAGCGACCTGGCCACAAATGACAGCTCAACAAAGTGGCTTATCGCGTGGAAATTTATAGCAGCCAAATACTCTAAATGCATATTTCTAATTGTGGAGGGAAAAACCAGAGGACCCGCACAAAATTCCATGTGACCACGGGGAGAGAGACACGCAAACTCCAATATATACGGGCGTCAGAGTTGGGCTTGAATCCACGACCTCCTGCATACCAGGCGAGGTAGTTAATATCTCCTAGCCACCGTCAGCTTGGCTGTGAATGCGAGCTGCACCCACGGGGCCTCGATTTGAATTTCCCTCCGTAAGAATTTGGGCACTGAGAAAATGTCGCCAAAGATGTTTAAAATATAATTTTAAAACATTGTAGGCAGCAGGAACATTGCATTTCTATTATGATTTAAAGCTTTCGTGACTGCAGGGATTCATATTCTTGGTTCTACGTGACTTTACCGAAAGAACCAAGAATATTGCATTTCTAATTTAACATTTAAAATAATTATTTTGTTTTGTCAGAAACATGGTCTTGAGCTTTCACACGCAGGCATTCCCTGGCCAGCTTTCCCCCATTGCGGTGTTTCCAAATAAAGGCTGCGCTAGTCGCCCCACACGCCGGAGCGGTGTCGCGTTCGCCGCTCCTTCCAGAGGTCCACGGGTTCGAGCTCAGCAGCTGCTGCGGTTAATGCCGCGGTGTTAATGCCGCGGTGTTAACCGCAAACGCGTATCAACCACAAACCAAACGCGTGCCATCTGGAGATCCCGCGACGTCGTACGAGCGGGAGCAGGAGGCCCATGTGCGCTGGCATCCTGGTCGGAATTTTGCCAATTTAAAAAAAAAAATCACTGGCCAATTACTCAATCGGTGAAATCACGCAATGGCTTCGCCTCGCACTGCAAAACTACCGCAGACCGTAATCATCTCCGAAACGAAGCACCTTCGTGATAACCCCACCTTGCACGACGAGAGCGACGCGGATGCCAAACGCACTCCTCGTTCGACTTGAACTGGGGGGTTGCTTGCCAAAGCATGCAAGCAACCGCTTGGAAACGGGCTCGGGTTGCCTATCAGCTGAAGCACCGGGAGAAATCAGGCCGACCTCGGGGTCAACTCGAGGTGGGCGTCCCATGGGAAAGCAGTGTTTGTCCCAATGGGCTCTCACCCGGCTGTGTAAAGAACGATGAGTTGAATGTTAATGTCGCGGGCGTCACGCCGGCCCAGGCAAGCTCGCTTTGTTTAGGTCCCGGTGTTGCGACACAAAGGGAAGATTTGGCTCTTAGCTGCCATCGGCCAAAACGGAAATGGGAAGAGCCTCTCTATGTGCCCTCAAGAAGGGGCCATTACCCGAAACGTCGCCTGTCATATACTCTTTCTTTTTGGGGCAGTGCAGTTGATAACAAATGTGTTGAGTCTGTTGTTGTTATTTGTGCTTGTGCACCGCTGCCAACCCAGCAGCAGAATCACCAAATAATTCACAAATACCAGGCATGGCCCTGCACCCACCGGGAACACCACCACATATGTACCACCACCACCACGGCCGCACCAGCCACAACGTGGTTTTCCAGCTCACGCAGCTCTACCTCTGGGAGGTTCCGGCCGGCTCCGAGTTCGTCGCCACGGATCTCCACATCGCCGACTTCGCCATCTCGTCCGAGATGTTTATGATGGAGGGGTCCTCGGGGCTGGGGGGGAAATGTGGGAGGGGAGTAAAATTAGCCGCTAAGTGTCGGCTGGCAGCCGCGCCGACACGGTCGCGGTGCCACTAATAGCGCCGTCGAATCCGTGAGCGTTGTATTTATTACCGCGCATACTTTCGCGGGGTAAATGCAGAATGGAAACAGCGTTCGCATGCTTCCCGACGTGTGGCAAAAGGTCAGCGCAACGGAAATGTTAAAGTTTTAAAAAGGGTTTCTTTATGTGTGCGCGATTCCCGTGAACTTTAAAGCATTTGCATCAATGATGCATGTTCTAAGAGTCATTGCCCAAAACGTTGACCATTCTATATATATATTTTTTTAATGCCAAATTAAGGCGTGGGTTTTACTCTGTGGACAGGGTCGGATTAACCCATTGGCTAGCACGGCCTTAGGCCCGCAGATGTTGTAGGCCGTCTTTTAGGTCCTTATATTGCACGTTGAAGGGCGACGGGAGCGTGGCCATCAGAAAACATTTTTTTCTTTTCCTGAATTAGGATGACAACATTTATGACTGTGCCACAGCTAAAGTGATTTATGTTTCATGAAGTTCAATGTACCTTGAGTCGACTAAATGAGTTAATTTTACATAGCTTAAATGTGTGATGACTTCAAGATATTTTTTTTTGAAAACGTAATACATACTTAGGCCCTTACCTCCAATTAACCTTAGGCCCCTGATAGGATGACTGATGCGGCCGCTGGTGTGTGGAGCGTGTACACACCGGAGCGCGCGACGCGTCTCCGTGACGACGCGCCCGGCGTGCTCGTCGCGTTACCTCTGCTGAACGTTGAGGACTGGGACCTTGATGAGGTTGACCTCCTCCATGGGCACGTGAATGCTCTCTGCTTCCGGACAATGCCGCATCCGCTCCGCCTCCTGGAACACGAACGACAAAAACGACAATAACAACAAAAACGACAACAACGACAATGAAAACGACCACAATAATGACAACAATGATGACAACAACAACCACAACAATAACGACAACAACAACGACAACAACAACGACAATGAGAACGACCACAATAATGACAACAATGACAACAATGATGACAACAACCACAACAATAACGACAACAACAACGACAATGAAAACGACCACAATGACAACAATGACAACAATTATGACAACAAGCACAACAATAACGACAACAATGACGACAACAACAACAACAACGAGTACAACAACAACGACAACCGCAATCGGTGATTCGACGGACATGCCGATCGAACCGTGTGGGCTAATTGGGGGGCACGGAATGGAGGAGGGCGCTCACCTCTTTCTGCTTCTCTTTCCTCTTTGCGTCGTCAATCTTCTTCTTTTTGCTCTCGGGCATGAGGTCGTCCAGCCAGCTGAGCTCCCGCTTGGTGAAGCACAGGTCCATGAGCTTCCGCACGAACACGAGGGCCAGCACCTGCGGGGAGGCAAGCCCATCGAAGAGCCGCGCACGGACCTCAAGGATCCCGCCAGCCTGTCCACCCGCCCGCTCGCCCGCCCGCTGCCGCTGCCCATGCCCTGCTACCCACGCTCGCTGCCCACACTTGTGGCTGTGGGCCGCACGCCGACACGGCCGGGTGCCGCCGGGCGCCGCGGTGGCTAGGAGATGTTAACTACCTCGCCTGGTATACAGGAGGTCGTGAGTTCCATCCCGACCCTGACGCCAGCTGTATATTTTGAGTGTGCATGTCTCTGGGTCCTACGGTTTTCCCCTCCACATTTAGAATCAACATCACTCGTTTAGAGTATTTAGCCAGGAAACATTTCCACATTATAAGCCACTTCTTTGAGCTCTCATTTATGGCCAGGTCGCTGCTTACAAACAGCAATATAGCTCAGTGGGCCTTACTTGGTAAAATAAAAACAGTTTAAAGTTTGGTTTTGACTGTCCGAGTCAAACGCCGAGGGCCCGGTCGCTCCGGTCACTCTGTCCGCGAGCTCCTCTCCTGGCGTGGTCGTAGGGAGTCACGTGGACCGGAGCTAGTTGAGAAACGCCGGCATCTGGGCAGGAGGGTGGTGGCCCACTGGTGCCTCACAGCAACTTGGGACCTGGGGTTTGACTCCCTACTCGGGCGCCTTTCTGGTGGAGTTTGCGTGTTCTCTCTCTCTCCCGCTTGTTCTGAGTGGAGTTTGCGTGTTCCTTCTCCCGCTTGTTCTGTGCGTGGAGTTTGCGTGTTCTCTCTCTCTCCTGCTTGTTCTGCGTGGAGTTTTCGTGTTCTCTCTCTCTCCCGTTTGTTCTGTGCGTGGAGTTTGCGTGTTCTTTCTCTCCCGCTTGTTCTGCGCGTGGAGTTTGCGTGTTCTCTCTCTCCCGCTTGTTCTGTGCGTGGAGTTTGCGTGTTCTCTCTCTCCCGCTTGTTCTGTGTGTGAAGTTTGCGTGTTCTCTCTCTCTCGCTTGTTCTGCGTGAAGTTTGTGTGTTCTCTCTCTCCCACTTGTTCTGCGTGGAGTTTGCGTGTTCTCTCTCTCCCGCTTGTTCTGTGCATGGAGTTTGCGTGTTCTCTCTCTCCCGCTTGTTCTGTGTGTGAAGTTTGCGTGTTCTCTCTCTCCCACTTGTTCTGCGTGGAGTTTGCGTGTTCTCTCTCTCCCGCTTGTTCTGTGCGTGGAGTTTGCGTGTTCTCTCTCTCCCGCTTGTTCTGCATGGAGTTTGCGTGTTCTCTCTCTCCCGCTTGTTCTGAGTGGAGTTTGCGTGTTCTCTCTCTCCCGCTTGTTCTGAGTGGAGTTTGCGTGTTCTCTCTCCCGCTTGTTCTGTGCGTGGAGTTTGCGTGTTCTCTCTCTCTCTCGCTAGTTCTGAGTGGAGTTTGCGTGTTCTCTCTCTCCCGTTTGTTCTGCGTGGAGTTTGCGTGTTCTCTCTCTCCCGCTTGTTCTGTGTGTGAAGTTTGCGTGTTCTCTCTCTCCCGCTTGTTCTGTGCGTGGAGTTTGCGTGTTCTCTCTCTCGCTTGTTCTGTGTGGAGTTTGCGTGTTCTCTCTCTCTCTCGCTTGTTCTGCGTGGAGTTTGCGTGTTCTCTCTCTCTCGCTTGTTCTGTGCATGGAGTTTGCGTGTTCTCTCTCCCGCTTGTTCTGCGTGGAGTTTGCGTGTTCCCTCTCTCCCGCTTGTTCTGCGTGGAGTTTGCGTGTTCTCTCTCTCCCGCTTGTTCTGTGCGTGGAGTTTGCGTGTTCTCTCTCTCTCTCGCTTGTTCTGCGTGGAGTTTGCGTGTTCTCTCTCTCCCGCTTGTTCTGTGTGGAGTTTGCGTGTTCTCTCTCCCGCTTGTTCTGTGCGTGGAGTTTGTGTGTTCTCTCTCTCCCGCTTGTTCTGCGTGGAGTTTGCGTGTTCTCTCTCTCCCGCTTGTTCTGTGCGTGGAGTTTGCGTGTTCTCTCTCTCGCTTGTTCTGTGTGGAGTTTGCGTGTTCTCTCTCTCTCCCGCTTGTTCTGTGCGTGGAGTTTGCGTGTTCTCTCTCTCGCTTGTTCTGCGTGGAGTTTGCGTATTCTCTCTCTCCCGCTTGTTCTGCGTGGAGTTTGCGTGTTCTCTCTCTCTCTCGCTTGTTCTGCGTGGAGTTTGCGTGTTCTCTCTCTCCCGCTTGTTCTGAGTGGAGTTTGCGTGTTCTCTCTCTCTCGCTTGTTCTGTGCATGGAGTTTGCGTGTTCTCTCTCTCTCGCTTGTTCTGTGTGGAGTTTGCGTGTTCTCTCTCTCCCGCTTGTTCTGTGCATGGAGTTTGCGTGTTCTCTCTCTCTCGCTTGTTCTGTGCGTGGAGTTTGCATGTTCTCTCTCTCCCGCTTGTTCTGTGCGTGGAGTTTGCGTGTTCTCTCTCTCTCGCTTGTTCTGTGCGTGGAGTTTGCGTGTTCTCTCTCTCCCGCTTGTTCTGCGTGGAGTTTGCGTGTTCTCTCTCTCCCGCTTGTTCTGCATGGAGTTTGCGTGTTCTCTCTCTCCCGCTTGTTCTGAGTGGAGTTTGCGTGTTCTCTCTCTCCCGCTTGTTCTGAGTGGAGTTTGCGTGTTCTCTCTCCCGCTTGTTCTGTGCGTGGAGTTTGCGTGTTCTCTCTCTCTCTCGCTAGTTCTGAGTGGAGTTTGCGTGTTCTCTCTCTCCCGTTTGTTCTGCGTGGAGTTTGCGTGTTCTCTCTCTCCCGCTTGTTCTGTGTGTGAAGTTTGCGTGTTCTCTCTCTCCCGCTTGTTCTGTGCGTGGAGTTTGCGTGTTCTCTCTCTCGCTTGTTCTGTGTGGAGTTTGCGTGTTCTCTCTCTCTCTCGCTTGTTCTGCGTGGAGTGTGCGTGTTCTCTCTCTCTCGCTTGTTCTGTGCATGGAGTTTGCGTGTTCTCTCTCCCGCTTGTTCTGCGTGGAGTTTGCGTGTTCCCTCTCTCCCGCTTGTTCTGCGTGGAGTTTGCGTGTTCTCTCTCTCCCGCTTGTTCTGTGCGTGGAGTTTGCGTGTTCTCTCTCTCTCGCTTGTTCTGCGTGGAGTTTGCGTGTTCTCTCTCTCCCGCTTGTTCTGTGTGGAGTTTGCGTGTTCTCTCTCCCGCTTGTTCTGTGCGTGGAGTTTGTGTGTTCTCTCTCTCCCGCTTGTTCTGCGTGGAGTTTGCGTGTTCTCTCTCTCCCGCTTGTTCTGTGCGTGGAGTTTGCGTGTTCTCTCTCTCGCTTGTTCTGTGTGGAGTTTGCGTGTTCTCTCTCTCCCGCTTGTTCTGTGCGTGGAGTTTGCGTGTTCTCTCTCTCGCTTGTTCTGCGTGGAGTTTGCGTATTCTCTCTCTCCCGCTTGTTCTGCGTGGAGTTTGCGTGTTCTCTCTCTCTCTCGCTTGTTCTGCGTGGAGTTTGCGTGTTCTCTCTCTCCCTCTTGTTCTGCATGGAGTTTGCGTGTTCTCTCTCTCTCGCTTGTTCTGTGCATGGAGTTTGCGTGTTCTCTCTCTCTCGCTTGTTCTGTGTGGAGTTTGCGTGTTCTCTCTCTCCCGCTTGTTCTGTGCATGGAGTTTGCGTGTTCTCTCTCTCTCGCTTGTTCTGTGCGTGGAGTTTGCATGTTCTCTCTCTCCCGCTTGTTCTGTGCGTGGAGTTTGCGTGTTCTCTCTCTCTCGCTTGTTCTGTGCGTGGAGTTTGCGTGTTCTCTCTCTCCCGCTTGTTCTGCGTGGAGTTTGCGTGTTCTCTCTCTCCCGCTTGTTCTGTGCGTGGAGTTTGCGTGTTCTCTCTCTCTCTCTCGCTTGTTCTGCGTGGAGTTTGCGTGTTCTCTCTCTCCCGCTTGTTCTGCATGGAGTTTGCGTGTTCTCTCTCTCCCGCTTGTTCTGTGCATGGAGTTTGCGTGTTCTCTCTCTCTCGCTTGTTCTGTGTGGAGTTTGCGTGTTCTCTCTCTCCCGCTTGTTCTGTGCGTGGAGTTTGCGTGTTCTCTCTCTCCCGCTTGTTCTGCGTGGAGTTTGTGTGTTCTCTCTCTCCCGCTTGTTCTGTGCGTGGAGTTTGCGTGTTCTCTCTCTCTCTCGCTTGTTCTGCGTGGAGTTTGCGTGTTCTCTCTCTCCCGCTTGTTCTGCGTGGAGTGTGCGTGTTCTCTCTCTCCCGCTTGTTCTGTGCGTGGAGTTTGTGTGTTCTCTCTCTCCCGCTTGTTCTGCGTGGAGTTTGCGTGTTCTCTCTCTCTCGCTTGTTCTGTGTGTGGAGTTTGTGTGTTCTCTCTCCCGCTTGTTCTGCGTGGAGTTTGCGTGTTCTCTCTCCCGCTTGTTCTGTGCGTGGGTTTCCTCCGGGTTCTCTGGTTTCCTCCACAAGCCGAAAAGAAAATGTAAAAACTACCTTGCAAATAACTCCATTTGATTTACAAATGGCAGCAACTTCGCTCCCTACTGTGAAAAACTTGGCATGGCCCTCCTGAAAAATCATCTTAGCAGTGATAATAATAATGATGATGATGACAGGTGTGTGTGGTCGTGTGTGACTGACGAGTGAAGAAGCATTGAGAACTCCTCCAGCCACTGCCCCCGGTGTCCGCTCCAGGTCCACGCTTTTCAACTCGTCTCCGTCACTCACCACGGTCCGGCCACCTTTTCGTAAAATACTCGCGACATTATTGGAAAGGGGAGCCCGATATTCCAGAAATTCCCGGAACACTTGGCTCCTAACGGGTCGGGGATATCGGTTGGGTTCACATTCCTTGGGTGCGTGGCGGCACGCGGGGGCACGTGGGTACGCACGTACCATCATGGGGAAGACGATGGCCGCGGGCGACACCTTGATCACCCAGAGCAGCACGAGGCAGGTGAGCTGCACGGCGGTGAACAGGTGCACCTTGCGCAGCGGCACGTGGCGCAGGTAGATGAAGTCCGGCTGGTGCTTGGCGGGCATGCCGAACAGCTTCAGCCGGTCGAAGAACTGCGGGCGTCATCGCGAGCGAGCGTGGGCCGAAGCGACAGGACGCGGCGCCGCGCAATCGAACAGAGGGTCAAAGTTCGTTGCGATCGTGTCTATAGCTGCACCAGAGCGGTTTAAAACAAAGCGCGGCGTAAGCGCGCCCAACGGAGGTCAAGGTGATGGCGGTGGCGCCGCGTGCCGAGGTGCCCGTGCCCACTCACCTGGATGCCTTTGAGCGAGGAGGCGCCCATGTAGAGGAACACTCCGTACAGCACCGGCATCGGGATGAACTGTGGCCACGCAAAACGAGTGCGCGTCACGGGCGGAGTTCTCTGCAAGGTTACTACTCATCAACATCATTATTATTGTTGTTGTTGCTACTGTGATTGTTTTTCAGGAGGTTCCTGCCAAATTCATCACAGTAGGGAGGAGATGTTGCTGCTGCTGCTGCTGTGTGATCTGCAAGATATTTTTTCAGAATTGTGATGTTTTGGGCCAATACCGGTTACAATTTCTGTTTTCTTTTACCTATGGGAGAATACCGAACAACCTGGAGTAAACCTTGCAATTAGCATAAACCATCATGCGGGCATCCTCGCAGCGGCTTCTGGCTGCTGGCCATCGAACTGAGATGGCGGTCACTACATCGTGCGGCGCTCTCAGATGCGCTTCTGCGGCCGTCTGGAACGCTCTTCCCTCCGATATTAGGAAGCCACTGGAGCTATGCACTTTTAAATCATCCAGATTGAAAACTCATTTCTTTCGAACTGCGTTTCGTGTTTCGTTTGTTTTCCTTCCTCGCACCACAGTTTAGCACTCTTGGCTACATACGGCACGAAATAAGTTAAACATGCAAACAATAGAGAGAGAGAGAATTCAAAAACTCTACGTGCAGAAAGGTGCCCGAGTCGGGAACCAAACCCGAGCCCAATCTGGTGCCACGAGGGGCGCTGCCACCCTGCCACGTCACCGACCCGGACAGCCGGACCCGGCCGCCACCCTCCCCCCTCCCCCCCACCCACCGCCCCCACCTGGAGCACTGTGGTCATGAAGACGGAACAGCCCATGAGCAGGAAGATCATGAGCCCCGTGAAGCGCTGCTCACGGATGCCCAGGAACTTGGGCTGCTCGCCAGGCGCGGAGCACTCGGACTCGAGCTTGAGGCTGTTGACGTGCGAGATGGAGAGCACCGTGGCCGCCACGAACCACGGCAGCCCCATGATGGAGCACACCCCCAGCATCAGAGCAACGCACAGCAGGTCCAGGTGGTAGCCGCAGCCCTTCTGTGAACGCGCACGCACGCACGGATGGACGCGCGTACAGAATGCCCGTAACGGACGCGAGTACAGACACGCTGACGCACGCGCAGACACGCTGACGCACGCGCAGACACGCTCACGCACGCGCAAGACACGCTCACGCGCGCGCAGACACGCTCACGCGCGCACAGACACGCCCACGCACGCACAGACACACTCACGCACGCACAGACACGCTCAAGCACGCACAGACACACTCACGCGCACACAGACACGCCCACGCACGTACAGAAGTGAGTACAGACATGCTCACGCACTTAAACACGCACGTACAGACGCACGCACCGGCACGCACGTAGAGGCACACGTGCACAGCAAGGCTCCAGTTTTAAGTGAGCACGAGCTAACGGGGGGGCAGCCACGAGCACTCGGCAGGGGTGACAGCGTCCGTGCGAGAACGTCCGACGCCGCGCTATTTAAGGAGGACCTCTTCACCCAAAAAAACCCTCTATTATGGATGATATTGGTTGCAAAGCCTACGTGTTAAACTGACTTCCCTCTGGCTTTACAGAATTCCTAATCGGTTGCGAGCGCGCTCACGTTGAGCTTGTGCTCCTTGCGGTTGATGATGACGGAGGTGATCTGCTGGTCCATGAAGATGAGGATGGTGCAGAGGAGCGCGGGGATGGCGCCCGCCAGGAGCGTCCACCACGGGTTCGTCCCGATGGGATCTACTAACCAGCCGCGGTCGTCGCGCGTCGGCTGGGAGAACAAGTAAACAACATAACAAGTAAACAACAACAGAACAAGCAAACAACCAACAGCAGCAGCAATGATAACAGCAACTTGGCCCAGTGGGAGCGCGCTCGATGCAGAGGGTCGCGCTTCAAAACCGGCAGGCCGCCCTGGGTAATACTGCGGGCGCACGAACCATAATATACTACGCGCCGCCCCGCTGTGCAGCGGACGTTAAACGTCCCGGGACGTCATCGAAAAGAGCAGGCCGTTGTGTGCCGGCGTCCCGGTACAAATTGATTAAACTTTAAATTACACCGCAAATTACTCGATTTGGGATCAATTTGGGATCGAGTCTTATTACCTTGCAGACCTCGTCAAGGAGCATAAATCTTCACACGAACTCCGTACATCCTCGCAGCGGCACTTGGCTGGCCATCGAACAAAGGCAGTCACCGCATTGGCAACTTTCAGGTGCGCTGCTGCAGCTGTCTGGAATGCTCTTCCTTCCAATATTAGGAAGCCACTGGAGCTATGCACTTTTAAATCATCCAGATTGAAAACTAATTTCTTAAGAATATATGATTGTACTTGGTTTGTGGTCCTTCCCCCGGACCTCCAATTAACACGGTTGGCTACGTACGGTGCAATCCAAGTCCAACATACGTACTCGCAGCAGCAATGGCATCCCCCCTTCTCTGAAACACAGCGGCGCATTCGCCATAGCCCTGCGCTATAAGAATGGCGCTGATACCCAACGTACTAAGTTGTTTATAATAAATTATAATTACTGCGACTACTACAACATCAACTACCACAATAACTGCCATTAGCCACTAACTGGTGGCGACATCAAAATGGCACTCACGCCAGGCCAGGCGCGCTTTGAAACAGGGTTGTGAATTTCAGTTGTTGTTGTTGTCCATTATCAATAAACTCATGCAAAAAAATACGAATAAGAACATCGGTGGCAGTATCGACACATCCCACAATAGTGATAAAATATCACACCCCTGTGTGATGTTCATAGTGAGCGCAATGGGGAGTGGAGGGGAGCGGAGTGGAGGGGAGGGGAGGGGAGCGGAGGGCGCCTCACCTTGAAGACGCTGGGGACCTGCAGCTTTGGAGACGGAATGCCGAGCGCGTAGTCCACGAGCACCATGGTGAGAATGGTGAGGAAGACAGCAAAGTCGCTCACGATGGCTCGCACCTGGACGCAGGGAGTGTGGGGGAGACGTGGTGAGGGTTCAGGGGTCACGCGGAGCTCACTCGGTGAGGGTTCAAGGGTCATGCGGAGCTCACTCGGTGAGGGTTCAGGGGTCACGCGGACCTCACTCGGTGAGGGTACAGGGGTCACGCGGAGCTCACTCGGTGAGGGTTCAGGGGTCACGCGGACCTCACTCGGTGAGGGTACAGGGGTCACGCGGAGCTCACTCGGTGAGGGTTCAAGGGTCATGCGGAGCTCACTCGGTGAGGGTTCAGGGGTCACGCAGAGCTCACTCGGTGAGGGTTCAGGGGTCACGCGGACCTCACTCGGTGAGGGTTCAGGGGTCACGCGGAGCTCACTCTGTGAGGGTTCAGGGGTCACGCGGAGCTCACTCGGTGAGGGTTCAGGGGTCATGCGGAGCTCACTCGGTGAGGGTTCAAGGGTCATGCGGAGCTCACTCGGTGAGGGTTCAGGGGTCACGCAGAGCTCACTCGGTGAGGGTACAGGGGTCACGCGGAGCTCACTCGGTGAGGGTTCAGGGGTCACGCGGAGCTCACTCGGTGAGGGTTCAGGGGTCACGCGGAGCTCACTCGGTGAGGGTTCAAGGGTCATGCGGAGCTCACTCGGTGAGGGTTCAGGGGTCACGCGGAGCTCACTCGGTGAGGGTTCAGAGGTCACATCACTCGGCGGGGGCCTTCCACCACTTAGTGGGCAAACGGCGTCCGTTCGGGCCACATCTTGGAACAAACTCAAGGCCATAATGTTCACCATCCCGTTTGGAAAAAGACAAATGACAACATGATTACTATTGCTGTTGTTTAACAATATAACCTTATTTTGCCCCCTTCGATATATACCTGTGTGCATGCCCTAAGTATTATGATGTCACTAGGGCCATAAGCTATGTGAAGCTCTAAAGGCCCCATCGAGGAACGCCTGTATATTTTTGTCATCGGAACGAAAATTACAATTTTGGGGAATCTTTTTTCCCTATGTTGTTTATTTTTCAACCGATTATGTAAAAATTGAAACGTATTTAGAGACCTCTCACAATGTGAGGCCTTAAGCAGTAGCTTCCTTAGGTTAGATCTAAATCCGGCCATTGGGCATATTTTGCTGCAACACATTTCCGCGCGATAAGCCACTTGGTCGAGCTATCATTTGTGATGGCCAGGTCGCTACTGCAAAAGAGCTACGTAGCTCAGTGGGGGCATTATCCGGTAAAAGTAAAAAATAATTTCAGTTTACTGGGCCCCGAGCGTACGTACCCTGGTGGGGAAGTAGCGCATGGTCTTGAAGTCCTTGAGGAAGGCCGAGAGGAAGAAGGTGCAGAAGAAAAGGATGACCGACCAGAAGAGCACGTCCGGAACATAGGGGCCCTCGTGGCCGCAGGCCCGCCCCGAAAACTCGCCGTGAAACAACGAGCACTCCTGCGGCACGGCCCGGCACAGGGAGGGGGAGCCACAGTCACGGCTCGCGCCGCAGTCAAGGGTCGGCAGGCTGTGGTCTGCGCTCGCTGCAACCACAGCAGCCGCAGCAATGGCTCGCTGAGGTTCGCCAAGTTTTCAGAGGTGATGCTGCTGCTGCTGCTGCTGCTCTTGTGTGTGATTCCTGAATGTGTAGTTTGAAGGTAGTTTGTCAGCGTTGGGATGTTTTGGCCAATACCAGTTACAGAATGTGCTTTTAAGATTTTGGAGCAAACCAGAGAAGCCGGATGAAACCCGTGCAGAACAGGGGGAGAAGGTACGAACTCTACGTAGGAAGGTGCCCAGCTTGGGAATCTGCTGCTCTGCCCTTCTGCCCCATGTGCCTGCACACCTCCCTCCCTCCTGATCTTTTATCACTTCATCCTCTGCGGTCACAGACAGAGGCCGTGAGAGATGGCGCCGTGCTTGGGGGATGTTTTTCCTTCAGCAGTGGCTATCGATGATGGCCAGATGTTATTTCCCTTGTCTGGTACGCATGAGGTCGTGGGTTCGATCCCGACCCTGACACCTGCTGTATTTGGAGTGTGTGTGTGTGTCTCTCTCCCCGTGTTGTGTTCCTCCACATTTGGAATCAACGTGCGTTTAGAGCATTTGGCTGATGAAAATGTCCACACGATACGCCACGTCATTGAGCAATTATTTGTGGGCAAGTTGCTTCTGAAAAAGAGCTAAATAGTTCAGTGGGCCCTTACCTGATACAATAATATTGTTTGGATTCGTTTAATTATAATGACGATGACGGTGCTGCTGGTGCTGCTGCTGCTGCTGTGAATGCGGGGCGAGGTGGCGCCACTCACAGTCACGCTGAGGTTGCCCCAGGGGATGGTGGCGGCCGTGAGGTTCTGACGGCTCCAGAACTGCAGCGTGCCGTTCTCCGGGTTCACGGGGGCCGTGCACGAGCACCTGGCCACACAGCCGCGGGTCACCGATGATGCCCCTAACGCGTCGATCCTCAACCTGGCTACCGTCTACAGCAGCGGTCTTCACTCGTGGGGGGGGGGGGGGGGGGGGGGGGCGACTTTCGCCGATAAGATGTCATGAGTGTGAGAGCCGCCACACTTGTGAAACCATTGGTCGGGAGCCACGTGTCAGGGGTCGCCACTGGCCCGCGGGCCTTGCCATTAAGAACACTGCTCCACACGGACGGCGAGGGCCGGCGGGCGGGCGGTTCCCGGGGTGGCCGGTTCAGAGCACCACGCACGGACCATGGAAGCGGACCAAGCACCACGTGTCGCAAAGTTTTTAAATGTCCGGCGTCACGAGCCCAGCGGAGCGAACGCCGCGTCGGCTCGTCACGTGGCACGTGGCAAATCGTGGAGCGGCAGTCACCGACAGCGACATCCAGTGGCGCTTTGAGGTGCGGCTATGCCCGCCCGGGGTGAAATACGAAACCCCCCCCCCCCCCGCACGACAAATAATGCCACGTCGTCACCACTCCACCTCACTCCACTCCACCCCACCCACTCCACTCCACCCACTCCACCCCAACACCAATCCACCCCACTCCACTCTACCCCTCTCCACCCCACTCCACCCCACTCCACCCCACTCCACCCCACTCCATTCCACCCCACTCCACCCCAACACCACTCCACCCACTCCACCCCACTCCACTCCACCCCACTCCACCCCACCCACTCCACCCCAACACCACTCCACCCACTCCACCCCACTCCACTCCACTCCACCCCACTCCACTCCACTCCCACTCCACTCCCACTCCACTCCTCCACTCCACTCCCACTCCACTCCCACTCCACCCCACTCCCACTCCACTCCACTCCCACTCCACTCCACTCCACTCCCACTCCACTCCACTCCCACTCCACTCCACTCCCACTCCACTCCACTCCACCCCACCCGTCTGTGCCCTGCCTCGGTGCCGCTCACCTGTAGTTGGTGAGGTGGTCGAGGGAGTTGTGCGCGTTGACGGGGTACGTCTCGCCCAGGTGCACGAGCTTCTCCAGCGCCTCGTAGATGAAGATGATGCAGATGAGCGCGGCGAAGGCCTCCTCGGTGAAGCGCGTGATGTAGCACACGAGCGAGCTGGCGTCCGTGGCCACGAGCAGGAGGCAGTAGAAGGCCGTCCACAGGCCGATGCACGCACGCAGGGACAGGTACGAGAGGCCGTAGTCCCTGCGCAACCCACGGGACGGCTCGATCGCTCAACTCGCCCGCCCGCCCGCCCGCTTACCTCCGTGCTCAGCCGCTCGCAAATCCTCTCGTCCGCTCGATCGATCGCTCGTTCACACTCACGCTCATCTGCTCGCTCGCTCACTCACTCACAAACTTACCAACTTGTCAATCTGCCTGCTCACAACCTCGTTCGCTCAATCACAGACTCTGTGACTCACTCTCTCGGTAGGTTACCCACCCGCTCGCTCACTCACTAGCTCACAACCCCACTCATCCACTCTCCTGCACATTCTCCCACCCACAAACTCGCTCGCTCGTTCACCCACTGGCTTGCTTACTCACCCACTCGCCAACCTTCCTGTCCACTCGCTCATTGGTTTGCTGGCTCGCTCGCTCGCTCAATTACAAACTCACTCGCTCGCTCAATCGTAGACTATATCACTTATTAACTCGCTGGACCACCTACCCACCCTCTCGCTCGCTCACACACCAACTCGCTCACACTTCTAGGCGAGGGAGAACATTCTTATCAAACATGCCGGTGTGTGACCTACTGAATAAAAACCACACTGGCACACATCCATCCATGTAGGGATTCTGGTGTAGTTATCAAATGCGATGCGAGTGCGGTGCAGTGCTAGTGCGGTGCGAGTGCAGTGCTAATGCGGTGTCAGTGTGGTGTGAATGTGGTGTGAGTGTGGTGCTAATGCGGTGTCAGTGTGGTGAGAGCGTGGTGTCAGTGTGGTACGAATGTGGTGCGAGCGTGGTGTGAGTGTGGTGAGAGTGTGGTGTGAGTGTGATGTGAGTGAGAGTGTGGTGAGAGTGTGGTGAGAGTGTTAGTGTGAGTGTGGTGAGAGTGTGGTGAGAGTGTGGTGAGAGTGTGGTGAGAGTGTGGTTTGAGTGTGGTGAGAGTGTTAGTGTGGTGAGAGTGTGGTGAGAGTGTGGTGTGAGTGTGGTGTGAGTGTGGTGAGAGTGTGGTGTGAGTGTGGTGAGAGTGTGGTGAGAGTGTGGTGTGAGTGTGAGTGTGGTGTGAGTGTAGTGTGGTGTGAGTGTGGTGAGAGTGTGAGTGTAGTGAGAGTGTGGTGAGAGTGTGGTGTGAGTGTGGTGTGAGTGTGGTGAGAGTGTGGTGTGAGTGTGAGTGTGGTGTGAGTGTGGTGTGAGTGTGGTGTGAGTGTGGTGAGAGTGTGGTGTGAGTGTGGTGAGAGTGTGGTGAGAGTGTGGTGAGAGTGTGGTGTTGTGGTGTGAGTGTGGTGTGAGTGTTAGTGTGGTGAGAGTGTGGTGAGAGTGTGGTGTGAGTGTGGTGTGGTTTGAGTGTAGTGTGGTGTAAGTGTGGTGAGAGTGTGAGTGTGGTGTGAGTGTGGTGTGAGTGTAAGTGAGAGTGTGGTGTGAGTGAGAGTGTGGTGTGGTGAGAGTGTGCTGTGAGTGTGGTGTGGTGAGAGTGTGAGTGAGAGTGTGGTGTGAGTGTGAGTGAGAATGTGGTGTGAGTGTGGTGTGAGTGTGAGTGAGAGTGTGGTGTGAGTGTGGTGTGAGTGTGAGTGAGAGTGTGGTGTGAGTGAGAGTGTGGTGTGGTGAGAGTGTGAGTGAGAGTGTGGTGTGAGTGAGAGTGTGGTGTGAGTGTGCGTGAGAGTGTGGTGAGAGTGTTGTGTGAGTGTGAGTGAGAGTGTGGTGAGAGTGTGGTGTGAGTGAGAGTGTGGTGTGAGTGTAGTGTGAGTGAGAGTGTGGTACGAGTGTGGTGAGAGTGTGAGTGAGAGTGTGGTGTGAGTGTGGTGTGAGTGTGGTGAGTGTGGTGTGAGTGTGGTGTGAGTGTGGTGTGAGTGTGAGTGTGGTGTGAGTGTGGTGAGAGTGGTGTGAGTGTGGTGTGAGTGAGAGTGTGGTGTGAGTGTGGTGAGAGTGTGGTGTGAGTGATGTGTGAGTGTGGTGTAAGTGTGGTGTGAGTGTGGTGTGAGAGTGTAGTGAGAGTGTGGTGAGAGTGTGGTGTGAGTGAGAGTGTGGTGTGAATGTGGTGTGAGTGTGGTGTGAGAGTGTAGTGAGAGTGTGGTGAGAGTGTGGTGTGAGTGAGAGTGTGGTGTGAGTGTGGTGTGAGTGTGGTGTGAGTGTGGTTAGAGTGTGATGTGAGTGTGGTGTGAGTGAGAGTGTGGTGTGAGTGTGGTGTGAGTGTAGTGTGAGTGTGGTGAGAGTTTGGTGAGAATGTGGTGAGAGTGTGGTGAGAGTGTGGTGTTAGTGTGGTGTGAGTGTAGTGTGAGTGTGGTGAGAGTGTGGTGTGAGTGTGGTGTGAGTGTGTGTGTGTGGTGTGAGTGTGGTGTGAGTGAGAGTGTGGTGTGAGTGTAGTGTGAGTGTGGTGTGAGTGTGGTGTGAGTGTGTGTGTGTGGTGTGAGTGTGGTGTGAGTGTGGTGAGAGTGTGGTGTGAGTGTGGTGTGAGTGTGGTGAGAGTGTGGTGAGAGTGTGGTGTGAGTGTGAGTGTGGTGTGAGTGACGTGTGAGTGTCATGTGAGTGGTGTGAGTGTGGTGTGAGAGTGTAGTGAGAGTGTGGTGAGAGTGTGGTGTGAGTGAGAGTGTGGTGTGAGTGTGGTGTGAGTGTGGTGTGAGTGTGTGTGTGTGGTGTGAGTGTGGTGTGAGTGAGAGTGTGGTGTGAGTGTGGTGTGAGTCTCGCACTTGCAGAACTTGTGGAGGATTTTCTCGAAGACGAGCACGGGCCCCGTGCTGCCCAGGATGGTGAGCGGCTGTCCCGCAAACAGCGAGTAGATGATGCCCGTCATGGACGCCCCCAGCAGCGACTCGATGGCGCTCTGACAACAGCAACAACAGCAGCCGGCAATTGAATGATCGTGGGAAGACTTAGAGATGTTCCCAGCAGCCGCCTTGTCAACAACAAGAAGGCGGTCCTGGGAATTCCGGGACGCGTGGCAACCCTCGACGAGTTGCAGCACGCAGCTGCACTCACAAAAAGACAAAGATCCCCCATATAGCCTTAACAGACTGTCGGGGCAAGTGCTGCTAGCGAGCACCTATAAAGGCCGGCACGGCACACGAGGGGGTGGGCTGCCAACACCACGCCCGTCCGCCTTTGTCTCCCCAGTGGCGATGTTTACACACTGCACCAGGTACTCGTTTGAGGCTGAGTCGACCTAGGTGAGGCTCAGGACAGGTTCAGATAATCGTCACCAGTGTTGGCCGTGAGCGGGAATCGAACTCGGGTCGCCAGGTTCGTAGCGCAGCGTAGCGCTAACCGCTACACCACACGCGTGTGTGTGTACGTACACACACACGTGTGTGTGCGGAAACACACAAGCGTGTGTGCTTTCTCACACACACCGCAGTGATGTTTGTCACTGCAAGAGGCCCTTGTGGTGCCAGGCGAGCTCGCTCGAGTCAGAGCGGAGCGCTGCTCTACAGCGCTCCCCGTCAGTCCGCAGTGCAGGCGCCCAGGGGCCCGGCCCAACGGCAGAGCGAGCGGCTCGCGATCAGAAGGTTCCGAGTTCAAATCCTGGTGGGGTCGTCGGTGGGGGAAGGGGGGTTGGCTCGGCCCATCAGCGTCCCTTACGAATCAATAAAGCGAGTACCACTCTGTGAGGAAGTAAACAGGTGTTGTCTTTTGGATAAACTCACCCCCACCATAGGAACATGGAATTTCCACCACTGGCCCTGCAGGGTTGTAATCAGGGGGGATGACCACCGACTCCTCAATGCTCACTGGAGGTGGAAATCACTTTCACCCGAGTCCTCGACTAGTGCAGCGGTGGGTGGGCCACCCCAGGGAGTCCGCCCCCGTGGGCCGCCCCCGTGGGCCGCCCCAGGGGTACCGCCTCGGTGGGCCGCCCCAGGTGGGCCAACCTGGGTGGGCCGCCCCAGGGGGACCGCCCTGGTGGGCCGCCCCAGGGGGGCCGACGCGGGGGGGGTGGTCAGCATATTCCCCGACGCTGGACTCACGATGCGGCCCTCGGTGGCCTCCCCGAGGAGGCCTCCGAAGGTGATGACGGGCGACATGCAGGCGCAGTAGAGGAAGAGGAAGGAGGCGAGGCACTGCAGGCTGAGCGCGTCGCGGAAGTCGCTCAGGTACCAGGGCAGCTTGCGCTTGAGGTCCAGCATGAGCCCCCCAAACAAGCTGCGGCAGAGACGGGGACACCCACCTCAAGCGGAGCGTCGCTCTCGCTGGCCATGCACAACTTGAATGGAGCAAGGACCCCCTAACACTGGCGGTGGATCGATGGGCTCAGTGGGGGTTAGCATCCCGCGCGATGCCACCTCGGCCCGTCGAACGTTTGCGTCGCTTGACACAGCGTCACGTGGGTCCCGCGGGTATCTCTCGAATATAAAAAGTCGTTGTGCCCGGAGACCCGGGCTCATTTCCCGTGAGATCGCTGCTGCTTGGTGACCCGACTAGCCCCATCAGACGCTGAGCTCACAGCCCCATGTAGAGGAACCGTGCTGCCCGGCGCTGGTGGCCCAGCGGGGGTTTGGTGGATCACACACGCACACACTCACACGCACACACACACACGCACACACTCGCCCACACACGCACACACACGCACACACACGCACACACTCGCACGCACACACACTCGCACACACACACACACACTCGCACACACTCGCCCACACACGCACACACACGCACGCACACTCGGGAAACTCCCAAACCCGCTGGGCTGCGAAGTCGCCATCTCCTGGCCCGCAAGGTTGCGATGGCAGTTCAGCAACTGGGTTAATTCCCATCTGTTATTCCATCCAATATCAGATTCCTATCTGGATCCCGCATGTGAGTTGGTCAAACATCCCAGTGTAGGGCCACAGAGCTCTCTCTCCGTTTCCCCACGAGTGAACGGACGCTGTGGGCGTTACCAATTTGTGATCGTCTGGGATCGCGAGCGACTCACCGTCCGGTCCTCATGAGCTCGGGACCCACCCCGTGGCCGGGCTGCCCCCCGAGACCCTCCGACTCCCCTCCTCCATTGCCGCCCTCCGCCGCGTTGCCGTTGGGGAGCGGAGGGTTCTTGCGCTTGTCCTGCAACAGCACACGCCCCGCACGTCGCTCGCCCCGCGCGTCACTCGCCCCGCGCGTCACTCGCCCCGCACGTCACTCGCTCCGCACGTCACTCGCTCCGCACGTCACTCGCTCCGCACGTCACTCGCTCCGCACGTTACTCTCGCCTCGAGCTGCGGTTGTACCCACACACCCGCACAATTCGCTCCCCTGCCTGCTGGCAGATTAACTCGCACTGCTAGGCCGGTGCTGTGCAGGGACAGCTGCCATGGGGGGGTCCCCTAGGCTAAACCACAGCTGGGCATTGGAATTATTAGGGTGAGGTCTGAAGTAAATCCTTATACAAATTCACATCGCAATGTTCACAACACGCTATCCTGCTATGGTGGGTAGAATTAGCACGCCCGGTATTCATTCCCTTCATCAACCATCGGCTGGGATTCGAACTTTAGTCTCACGGTCCCTGAGGGGGAGCTGCGGTGGTAGTCAGGGAGGGGTGGGGGGGGGGGCTCACCTGGGAGGGCACGTTCTTGGGGGGGCTCGATGCGGATGGAGGGGTCCCATTCCCCGGGGGGCAGCACCGTGACCTGGTCGAGGAACTCGTCGATGCCGGCCAGCAGGTCCTTGCGATCCTTGGCCTTGTAGGCCACGTCGTGGAACACCTGCCAGGGGTCACGGCGGAGTCAGCCTCGGCGGCGCGGGCGGCCGAGGGACCGCCCGCGGCGTTCGGCGCGAGCGGCCTCCCCGCGCTGACCGGCGCGGTGAAGTATGGCCGAGCGAACCCTTCGATCGGCACGGCAAGCGGGGCCAAGCCACGACGCCCGGAGCAGTCGCATTGGGCTCCGAATTAGTAAGGTCGTCCATCGAATCTGTCCGTCAAAAAAAGCCATCCACTCTGCCAGGCTTGCAACTTAATTCACTTGGTTTCACTAAATCCCAGCCAAATGCAGTGAATAATTGGATGCGACGAGGTTTTTGTTGTTTGTTTTACTGCTCACAGGGCTGAGAGCACGAACCGCCGTGGACTGGACAAGCCGGTGAAAACCTCCAAAGCGCGCTCACGCGTCTCCGCTTCACGGCGCCAACAACGACGCGAACCAAAAGGCCCCGGTGGTCACTCCGACAGTCAGGCAGCTCGGTCACGGTGGAGTTGGCGGATCGCGGGGAGAACAGGAGGCAAAACTCGGGACGATCCTCTCAACCGCAACGACGGGCAACGGCGACGCGGTGGGCGCCGGCGCCACGACGCACCTCGTCGGACATGAGCGTGGCGATGGAGCGGCCAATCTCGTGGTACTGCTGCGCCTTGCCGGAGGGGCCGAGCAGGATGAAGAGGAACCTGGGGGGCAAGGAATGGGGGGGGGGGGGGGGAGAGATCGGCGGCGGTGTCCCCCAGGAAAGACCGCCGGGCGTTTGGTTTTCAATTGTTTTGTTTTTTGCGCTCTGATGCGGTGTGACGAGCGGTGGGAGTCTCGCTGGGGTGGTGTGACGTGCGGTGCGATGGACGGCGTAACACGTGGAGTGACGTGCGGTGCGAGTCTCGGTGCGACGCTCGCTCACCGCGTCGGGATGGGCACTTCGGTGAGGCCCGTGAGCACCACGGCCGGTGAGAGGCGCACAAAGGCGATGATGGGCCGGTCCAGGAAGTCCACCTCGCCCACCAGAACGTTGGAGGCCTCGGCGCCCGGCGGGATCTTGCGCATGAAGTTCAGGTCGACCTGACCCCGGGAGAGAGCCCCGGTCACACACGGGCTCAGCGTGGCTCGTGGGGGTCAACGTGGCTCGCGGGGGTCACCGCGACCCACGCGGAGGTCAGCACGACCCACGCTGTTCCCGCACGCCCCGGGCGATGGCGCCTATGCCCGCAAGCCCGTCTGACGGCCCGCCTGCAGGCCAGCTCGCCAGGAGATGGCGGCACAGCTGAGTGGAGTCATCATCTCCTTCTGCTCCGATCATCGCGGAGGGACGTGCTTGCCGTCTCTTACACAAACCCCGAACGGACTGCGTCATTAAACTAACCACGAAGATGATGACGTCACGCAATCATCACGCCATCAATTACTGCCGACAGCGCTTCAGAAAGCGTTTGTTTGCGTTATGAGTAATAGCGACCTTATTAATTATTACGGAATTTGTCATCACAGGGGGGGGGGGGTGGGAGGCAGGTAGAAACGATAATCACGGCACGCGACGATGCGCGGCTCGTGAAAAAGCTCCCTGCATGTGGAGTGAAACGTCGGACGTCGTGCCCGGCAGCAAACGTGGCGCGGCGCAATGCATGTTGGGGGCCGCAGCAGCAGCACCAGCAGCACCTTGCTGTTCTCGCGGCTGGTGCCCGCCGGCCCGGCTGTGGAGGTAGCCGTGGTCCCGTTCTTTGGGACACCCTCCAGCTGGGGAAGGGCCAGGTGCTGCGTTGTGGCCGGCCCCGCTAGAGAGAGGGGAGAGAGACGAGCGGAGAGAGGGAAAGAGCCACGAGGGACAGTGGGGATGGGAGAGAGTAAGACGCCATCGAACAAAGACAAAGATCCCCCGTATAGCCTTAACAGACTGTTTGGGCAAGTGCTGTTAGCGAGCACCTACGAAGCCCGGCACGGCACACGAAGGGGTGGGTGACCAGCCCAGGACAGGTTCAGATAATCGTCACTTAGAAAGGCTATAAGCGGGATTCGAACGCGGGTCGCCGGATTCGGAATACAGCGTGCTAACCGCTGCACTTCCGCTCCCCATTACACTGACACACACATACTGGCTGGCACAGAGACAAAGACCCCTGTATAGCCTTAACAGACTGTAGGGGCAAGTGCTGTTAGCGAGCACCGATGAAGGCCGGAACAGCACACGAGGGGGTGGGTGGCAAGCACCACGCCCGACCGCCTTTGTCTCCACAGTGGCGATGTTCACACACCGCACCAGGTACTCATTTGAGGCTGAGTCGACCTAGGGGAGGTCCAGAACCGGTTCAGATAATCGTCAGTGGTGTTGACCATGAGCGGGAATCGAATCCGGGTCGCCAGGTTCATAGTGCAGCGCGCTAACCGCTACACTACACACACAAAATGACACAGACACACAATGACACTGACACACACTGACACTGACACACAATGACACGGACACACAATGACACAGACACACAATGACACTGACACAATGACACTGACACACAATGACACTGACACACACTGACACTGACACACAATGACACTGACACACACTGACACAGACACACACACTGACACAGACACACACACTGACACTGACACACACACTGACACTGACACACAATGACACTGACACACAATGACACTGACACACAATGACACTGACACACACTGACACTGACACACAATGACACGGACACACACTGACACACAATGACACTGACACACAATGACACTGACACACACTGACACTGACACACACTGACACACAATGACACGGACACACACTGACACTGACACACACTGACACTGACACACAATGACACTGACACACAATGACACTGACACACAATGACACGGACACACAATGACACAGACACACACTGACACTGACACACAATGACACTGACACACACTGACACGGACACACACTGACACGGACACACAATGACACGGACACACACTGACACAGACACACAATGACACTGACACACACTGACACAGACACACACTGACACTGACACACAATGACACTGACACACAATGACACTGACACACAATGACACAGACACACACAATGACACGGACACACAATGACACGGACACACACAATGACACGGACACACAATTACACTGACACACAATGACACGGACACACAATGACACTGACACTGACACACACTGACACACAATGACACGGACACACAATGACACTGACACACACTGACACAGACACACAATGACACAGACACACAATGACACAGACACACACAATGACACAGACACACACACTGACACAGACACACACAATGACACTGACACACAATGACACTGACACACAATGACACAGACACACACACTGACACGGACACACAATGACACGGACACACACACACACCACGTACCGACTTTGTCCTGCATGTGGGGGTCCGAGTGGCGCTTGCCGATGTCGGCGAAGGATCGCACGATGGGGATTCGGTCGCTCAGCTTCTTCTCGTTCTGGTGGTGGTGGCGCCGCAGCAGCGCCTCGCGCACCTTCTCGCGTGCCGCCTCGCCTAGCTGCGCCGTCGAGATCTGCTCGTCCAACACGAAGTCTGCGCGCGACAGACGGGACGGCCGCTCCGGCCAGCGCAAACTTCATTTCCATTTAGATGTTTACTACGCACCACACCGGGTACTCATTTAAGGTCGGGTCGGCCTAGCGCAGGAGGCCCAGGACCGGTTCAAAAAATCGTCACCGGTGTCGGTGGCCGTGAGTGGGAATCGAACCCCGCGTTGCCGGGTTCGCAGCGCAGCGCGCTAACAGCCGCACTACCGCTCCAGCCAGCGCAAACTTCACTTCCATCAAATTCTCATTGCCCCGTCGACTGCTCTGTGTTTTAAGTTTTAGAGCCGGGAAGGGTTTTACAAATTGGGCAAGAAATCTGGGAAGCGTGCGGGAGACGCACGAGGTGGCGGAGGGGGGGGGGGGGGGGCGGGTCAGTCCCCCAAGCGAGCACCAGCGGGATCCCGGCGACGCTCCAAGCCCAGCACGGAGGCTCCCATTTAGAATCCGTCTGCGATGGACGATCCCGTGGCGGATACAAATTTTCCAAATTGAAAACTAATTTCTTCAGAAGCGTTTTTGTGTTTGGTGTCGCCCCCTCCCCCCCACCCGCACCTCCGATTAGCATGGTTAGCTACGTACGCTGCGAAATAAGTTCAACGTCCAGGACGTACACACACGCGGCACCCGCTGTATTCATTTGCAAGCGGCGACTGAAGGGCGGTGCTGGCGTAGGTGACAGAAACATGGAGACGTTCGCTCCGAATGCATTTGGCCGCCTTTTTTATGGAGCGCATTGCGGTACCCGTCCGTGCGTCTGTGCGTAGTGTCTGTATGTGTGTAGTGTCTGTATGTGTGTAGTATCTGTATGTAGTGTCTGTGTGTGTGTAGTGTCTGTATGTGTGTAGTGTCTGTATGTGTGTAGTGTCTGTATGTAGTGTCTGTATGTGTGTAGTGTCTGTATGTAGTGTCTGTGTGTGTGTAGTGTCTGTATGTGTGTAGTGTCTGTATGTGCGTAGTGTCTGTATGTGTGTAGTGTCTGTATGTGTGTAGTGTCTGTATGTGTGTAGTGTCTGTATGTATATAGTGTCTGTATGTGTGTAGTGTCTGTATGTGTGTAGTGTCTGTATGTGTGTAGTGTCTGTATGTGCGTAGTGTCTGTATGTGTGTAGTGTCTGTATGTGTGTAGTGTCTGTATGTGTGTAGTGTCTGTATGTGTGTAGTGTCTGTATGTGTGTAGTGTCTGTATGTATGTAGTGTCTGTATGTAGTGTCTGTATGTGTGTAGTGTCTGTATGTGTGTAGTGTCTGTATGTGTGTAGTGTCTGTATGTATGTAGTGTCTGTATGTGTGTAGTGTCTGTATGTATGTAGTGTCTGTATGTGTGTAGTGTCTGTATGTGCGTAGTGTCTGTATGTATGTAGTGTCTGTATGTGTGTAGTGTCTGTATGTGTGTAGTGTCTGTATGTGTGTAGTGTCTGTATGTGTGTAGTGTTTGTATGTATGTAGTGTCTGTATGTAGTGTCTGTATGTGTGTAGTGTCTGTATGTGTGTAGTGTCTGTATGTGTGTCTGTGCGTAGTGTCTGTATGTGCGTAGTGTCTGTATGTGTGTAGTGTCTGTATGTGTGTAGTGTCTGTATGTGTGTAGTGTCTGTATGTGTGTAGTGTCTGTATGTAGTGTCTGTATGTGTGTAGTGTCTGTATGTGCGTAGTGTCTGTATGTGTGTAGTGTCTGTATGTGTGTAGTGTCTGTATGTGTGTAGTGTCTGTATGTGTGTAGTGTCTGTATGTATGTAGTGTCTGTATGTGTGTAGTGTCTGTATGTGCGTAGTGTCTGTATGTGTGTAGTGTCTGTATGTGCGTAGTGTCTGTATGTGTGTAGTGTCTGTATGTGTGTAGTGTCTGTATGTGCGTAGTGTCTGTATGTGTATAGTGTCTGTATGTGTGTAGTGTCTGTATGTGTGTAGTGTCTGTATGTGTGTAGTGTCTGTATGTGTGTAGTGTCTGTATGTGTCTGTGCGTAGTGTCTGTATGTGTGTAGTGTCTGTATATAGTGTCTGTATGTGTGTAGTGTCTGTATGTGTGTAGTGTCTGTATGTGTGTCTGTGCGTAGTGTCTGTATGTGCGTAGTGTCTGTATGTGCGTAGTGTCTGTATGTGTGTAGTGTCTGTATGTGTGTAGTGTCTGTATGTGCGTAGTGTCTGTATGTGTGTAGTGTCTGTATGTGTGTAGTGTCTGTATGTAGTGTCTGTATGTGTGTAGTGTCTGTATGTGTGTAGGGTCTGTATTTATGTAGTGTCTGTGTGTGTGTAGTGTCTGTATGTGTGTAGTGTCTGTATGTGTGTAGTGTCTGTATGTGTGTAGTGTCTGTATGTGTAGTGTCTGTATGTAGTGTCTGTATGTGTGTAGTGTCTGTATGTGTGTAGGGTCTGTATTTATGTAGTGTCTGTGTGTGTGTAGTGTCTGTATGTAGTGTCTGTATGTGTGTAGTGTCTGTATGTGTGTAGTGTCTGTATGTCTGTAGTGTCTGTATGTGCGTAGTGTCTGTATGTGCGTAGTGTCTGTATGTGCGTAGTGTCTGTATGTGTGTAGTGTCTGTATGTGTGTAGTGTCTGTATGTGCGTAGTGTCTGTATGTGTATAGTGTCTGTATGTGTGTAGTGTCTGTATGTGTGTAGTGTCTGTATGTGTGTAGTGTCTGTATGTGTGTAGTGTCTGTATGTGTGTAGTGTCTGTATGTGTGTCTGTGCGTAGTGTCTGTATGTGTGTAGTGTCTGTATATAGTGTCTGTATGTGTGTAGTGTCTGTATGTGTGTAGTGTCTGTATGTGTGTCTGTGCGTAGTGTCTGTATGTGTGTAGTGTCTGTATGTGCGTAGTGTCTGTATGTGTGTAGTGTCTGTATGTGTGTAGTGTCTGTATGTGCGTAGTGTCTGTATGTGTGTAGTGTCTGTATGTGTGTAGTGTCTGTATGTGTGTAGTGTCTGTATGTAGTGTCTGTATGTGTGTAGTGTCTGTATGTGTGTAGGGTCTGTATTTATGTAGTGTCTGTGTGTGTGTAGTGTCTGTATGTAGTGTCTGTATGTGTGTAGTGTCTGTATGTGTGTAGTGTCTGTATGTGTGTAGTGTCTGTATGTGCGTAGTGTCTGTATGTGTGTAGTGTCTGTATGTGTGTAGTGTCTGTATGTGTGTAGTGTCTGTATGTAGTGTCTGTATGTGTGTAGTGTCTGTATGTGTGTAGGGTCTGTATTTATGTAGTGTCTGTGTGTGTGTAGTGTCTGTATGTAGTGTCTGTATGTGTGTAGTGTCTGTATGTGTGTAGTGTCTGTATGTGTGTAGTGTCTGTATGTGTGTAGTGTCTGTATGTAGTGTCTGTATGTGTGTAGTGTCTGTATGTGTGTAGGGTCTGTATTTATGTAGTGTCTGTGTGTGTGTAGTGTCTGTATGTAGTGTCTGTATGTGGGTAGTGTCTGTATGTGTGTAGTGTCTGTATGTCTGTAGTGTCTGTATGTGCGTAGTGTCTGTATGTGCGTAGTGTCTGTATGTGTGTAGTGTCTGTATGTGTGTAGTGTCTGTATGTAGTGTCTGTGTGTAGTGTCTGTATGTGTGTAGTGTCTGTATGTGTGTAGTGTCTGTATGTGTGTAGTGTCTGTATGTGTGTAGTGTCTGTATGTAGTGTCTGTGTGTAGTGTCTGTATGTGAGTAGTGTCTGTATGTGCGTAGTGTCTGTATGTGTGTAGTGTCTGTATGTGCGTAGTGTCTGTATGTGTGTAGTGTCTGTATGTGTATAGTGTCTGTATGTGTGTAGTGTCTGTATGTGTGTAGTGTCTGTATGTGTGTAGTGTCTGTATGTATGTAGTGTCTGTATGTGTGTAGTGTCTGTATGTGCGTAGTGTCTGTATGTGTGTAGTGTCTGTATGTGCGTAGTGTCTGTATGTGTGTAGTGTCTGTATGTGTGTAGTGTCTGTATGTGTGTAGTGTCTGTATGTGTGTAGTGTCTGTATGTGCGTAGTGTCTGTATGTGTATAGTGTCTGTATGTGTGTAGTGTCTGTATGTGTGTAGTGTCTGTATGTGTGTAGTGTCTGTATGTGTGTAGTGTCTGTATGTGTGTAGTGTCTGTATGTGTGTCTGTGCGTAGTGTCTGTATGTGTGTAGTGTCTGTATATAGTGTCTGTATGTGTGTAGTGTCTGTATGTGTGTAGTGTCTGTATGTGTGTCTGTGCGTAGTGTCTGTATGTGCGTAGTGTCTGTATGTGTGTAGTGTCTGTATGTGTGTAGTGTCTGTATGTGTGTAGTGTCTGTATGTGCGTAGTGTCTGTATGTGTGTAGTGTCTGTATGTGTGTAGTGTCTGTATGTGTGTAGTGTCTGTATGTAGTGTCTGTATGTGTGTAGTGTCTGTATGTGTGTAGGGTCTGTATTTATGTAGTGTCTGTGTGTGTGTAGTGTCTGTATGTAGTCTCTGTATGTGCGTAGTGTCTGTATGTGTGTAGTGTCTGTATGTGTGTAGTGTCTGTATGTGTGTAGTGTCTGTATGTGTGTAGTGTCTGTATGTAGTGTCTGTATGTGTGTAGGGTCTGTATTTATGTAGTGTCTGTGTGTGTGTAGTGTCTGTATGTAGTGTCTGTATGTGTGTAGTGTCTGTATGTGTGTAGTGTCTGTATGTGCGTAGTGTCTGTATGTATGTAGTGTCTGTATGTGTGTAGTGTCTGTATGTGTGTAGTGTCTGTATGTGTGTAGTGTCTGTATGTGTGTAGTGTCTGTATGTATGTAGTGTCTGTATGTAGTGTCTGTATGTGTGTAGTGTCTGTATGTGTGTAGTGTCTGTATGTGTGTCTGTGCGTAGTGTCTGTATGTGCGTAGTGTCTGTATGTGTGTAGTGTCTGTATGTGTGTAGTGTCTGTATGTGTGTAGTGTCTGTATGTGTGTAGTGTCTGTATGTGTGTAGTGTCTGTATGTAGTGTCTGTATGTGTGTAGTGTCTGTATGTGCGTAGTGTCTGTATGTGTGTAGTGTCTGTATGTGTGTAGTGTCTGTATGTTGTGTAGTGTCCT